ACAAGAGGAAATAGTTTTACTTTGTGTAATGACCCATCCACTCCCAGTCTCTTTTCAAGCCTAAGTTAATTGTATCCAGTTTGCAAATTAATTCCAATTCAGCAGTCTCTCGTTGGAGTCTGTTTTTGAACTTTTTTTGTTGAAGAATTGCAACTTTTAGGTCTGTAATCGAGTGACCAAAGAGATTGAAGTGTTCTCCAACTGGTTTTTGAATGTTATAATTCTTGACATCTGATTTGTGTCCATTTATTCTTTTACGTAGAGACTGTCCAGTTTGACCAATGTACATGGCAGAGGGGCATTGCTGGCACATGATGGCATATATCACATTGGTAGATGTACAGATGAGTGAGCCTCTGATAGTGTGGCTGATGTGATTAGACCCTATGATGGTATCCCCTGAATAGATATGTGGGCACAGTTGGCAACGGGCTTTGTTGCAAGGATAGGTTCCTGGGTTAGTGGTTCTGTTGTGTGGTGTGTGGTTGCTGGTGAGTATTTGCTTCAGATTGCGGGGCTGTCTGTAGGCAAGGACTGGCCTGTCTCCCAAGATTTGTGAGAGTGATGGGTCATCCTTCAGGATAGGTTGTAGATCCTTGATGATGCGCTGGAGAGGTTTTAGTTGGGGGCTGAAGGTGATGGCTAGTGGCGTTCTGTTATTTTCTTTGTTGGGCCTGTCCTGTAGTAGGTGACTTCTGCGTACTCTTCTGGCTCTGTCAGTCTGTTTCTTCACTTCTGCAGGTGGGTATTGTAGTTGTAAGAGTGCTTGATAGAGATCTTGTAGGTGTTTGTCTCTGTCTGAGGGGTTGGAGCAAATGCAGTTGTATCGTAGAGCTTGGCTGTAGACAATGGATCGTGTGGTGTGGTCTGGATGAAAGCTGGAGGCATGTAGGTAGGAATAGCTGTCAGTAGGTTTCCAGTATAGGGTGGTGTTTATGTGACCATCGCTTATTAGCACCATAGTGTCCAGGAAGTGGATCTCTTGTGTGGACTGGTTCAGGCTGAGGTTGATGGTGGGATGGAAATTGCTGAAATCATGGTGGAATTCCTCAAGGGCTTCTTTTCCATGGGTCCAGATGATGAAGATGTCATCAATGTAGCGCAAGTAGAGTAGTGGCATTAGGGGACAAGAGCTGAGGAAGCATTGTTCTAAGTCAGCCATAAAAATATTGGCATACTGTGGGGCCATGCAAATACCCATAGCAGTGCCGCTGATTTGAAGATATACATTGTCCCCAAATGTGAAATAGTTATGGGTGAGAACAAAGTCACAAAGTTCAGCCACCAGGTTTGCCGTGACATTATCGGGGATACTGTTCCTGATGGCTTGTAGTCCATCTTTATGTGGAATGTTGGTGTAGAGGGCTTCTACATCCATAGTGGCCAGGATGGTGTTTTCAGGAAGATCACGGATGGATTGTAGTTTCCTCAGGAAGTCAGTGGTGTCTCGAAGATAGCTGGGAGTGCTGGTAGCGTAGGGCCTGAGGAGGGATAGGTTTGCATTTCAAAATTCTAGCCCATTTAGCATTAATGGTCCTAATTATCATTTGCATACCATTCTAACATGACTTTAAAGGTGGGCTTTGGGTCATTCAGCCTGCAAGCTGTTTAACCCTTTCTAGCCATGCGTCACAGGTGGTGTCTAGTCTACTGCTTAGAATTGGAGATTAGGTGCCAGCAGTTCTGGATTTTCTATCTGGTTCTTCTACTGACTCACTCTATGACATCAGACAATTCATGTCACCTCAATTGCCCAACATGTAAAATGGGGCTAATACAGACTTACCTTGCCATGCAGGGCTTCATTCACTCCTGTTTGTAAAGTGTTTTGAGATTAATGGATGAAAGGTGGGGCCCCTGCAAATCTGCAGTCCTAGATGAACTTCTTATGTGTTGTCATTGTGCTGCACAACAGCCACTTGGTGCTAGCAGTGGGACCAGAACTCAGATCATCCTTCTCCAAAGGCACCACCTGAATCACCTGAATTATTCCCTACCAGAGACATACATCTCTCTCTGGCCTCTATGGAAGACAGCGGAAGTGTCACTTCTATAGGATAAAACTTGGTTTCCAATTGTTAGTGAGATTCAGAGTCTTTCACCTCCTGGGTCTCAATTCAAAGCCATCTTTTGATTGTGAGTTGGGCCTGGTACAAAATGGTTTTGGCACTTTCTATTCAGTTCCCAATACACAGGGGCCCTGATTCTGGCCTCTGTTAGTGTAAAGGGGACAGAGCCTCCTTCTCAGAGGGGAATAGCCTCAGCTTAAGGGGGCTCCATGGACAATTTAGAGTTGTCACAATGGCTTTATGCTGCTCATATTTGCAGTTCCCAGTGTAGGCATGTACTATGGAGAGGGGGATGGCTTGAGTCCAGCTGGTCTTGGCTGCTGGGCAGCTCCTAAGACCACTGTAGCCAGAGCTTAAACTAAAGCAGCCCTATGGCAACTTGCATCAGGAACCATGCAGGCCTTGGCAGACAATGGCTTAAAGCCACATACTCTCCCATTGGTGTGCTGAGCTGAGCAGAGGACTGGAGCATCTGACCCATGGTGTCCACATCCCAAACAGCACCTCCACACGTGGCACTAGTTGGCTCCTACTGTGGTAGTTTCTCAGCAGAGAGGTCACGGAACTAATGGGCCACAGAGAGCAAATTAGCCTGCCGACTGGGTACTACAGCTGCTAATGCTGTACCTTATCTGATGATTATTAGAGGGCTTCTGTTGGCCCCGTCCCTTTCACCAGCTCCATGCATTTGCTGACTATTGTATGGCACATGGAATACCGCAATACTGGCTTCTTGGCTGTGTGGCACCTGGCCCCATGGAGTTCTTAGGCAGTTCCACAAAGCAAATGATGATAATAACTATTAGCAGACACCAGGAGAGGGTGCCTCTTCCCCACCCTGGGAGGGGATGTCCCTGTCCCTCCTGCCCACAGAGGCCCCTCTGCCCCATCCTGGGAGTGGTATGTTGGAGGCTTGGGAATGATTTGGTTTTCTCTGTTTTACAAAGGTAAAGCAGCCTCTGTTTATTCCTTCCTTGTGTGAATGGCTGTGGGACAGTGGACTTGGCCTATCTGTGTGAGGGAGTTTGGAGCAGGTTATAGCCCCAGTTAAGAGAACTGATGGTCCAGGAAGTGAATTGTCAGGCTGAGGGGCTGACCAGAGGAGCAAGCGTTTGGTGCTAGCACGTGAGAATGTGGGGAGGCCAAAGCGTTTGGGAATCATTACAAATCTCTCTTGCAGCTTTTTTAGCTCTGGGTCAAGGGGGTTGATGCAGCCAGAAGGAAAACTTGAAAGGGGCAGAGGAGGAGTGGGAGTGCTATCAGACAACCATGTTCTTCCACAGACACCCCTGCCCACCCTGCCCAGCAAGTCATGTCCAAGGGAAACAGCTACTTTGGGAGAAGGGTATGGGAAGGAGAGAGCAAAAACTAGGGGTATGAATTCATTTACAGAAAAGATTGGGAGAGGACAAAGGAAGGCTGGAAATCTGGGAGCATGGAAGTGTCAAGACATGATCTCTGTGCTTCGCTGGGAAAATTGGGTTTAACAGCCCAGCACAATGAGGCCTTGTGGTTTGTAATGTATGACAAGAATTAGGCCTGACAGCACCTCTGATGGGAGTCTCTCTAGCCTCTTGCCCACCCTTCCTCCACCAGAGCTATTTCAGCAATGTGAGCCTGGCTCTCTGCACTGCTAAGTTGCCATCATTAACCTAATTCCAAGCTGCCCCTTTATGCTGCTCACTTCCAGAGAATATGTTTTCCACAGCCAGGCAGCTAGACCTGTTAGAAGTGTGTATGGGGGGGGGGGGGGGGGAGATCAGAAATGTAGGGGGCAAGGTCCTTGTCCTGCTCCCTCATTTCACTTCTGTTGGGTTTAAGGCCTGGCCAATACCTTGTGTTAAAAAGGCAGAAATTTCAACGCAGATGCTCCTGCAGGAGGGGTAAGGGGACCTGATGATTAAGAGAATGGCAGCCCTATGCCATGGGGTGAAATATCTGGCCATATACTTCACTAGCCTCTCATACAGAACCATTCCTTTCAACAGAAAACAGATCTAAGGGGACAGCACTTAGCTGCTACTCTATGGCTGGAATCTCTGCCAGTGTAACCACTGGTTACGAGTCCCCCTCACTACCAGTTCCAGTCTTATAACCAAACTCTCCTATGGGTTGGTTCAATCTACAAGGGCCAAAGCAATCCATGTTATTACACAGGTGGTAAGGGCATTCCTGTGTTATAACACAGCTCCACAATGCAGCCTTCTGTATATAAAGGGTTAATAAATTATTGGTAGAGGTATAAGCATGTTACAGCATAGTATTGTGCTATTGATGGTTATAAGCACATCAAAAGAAGGTGTTACAGAGGGTAACAGGTCAGGTTATAAGTAACTTGGACTTCATAACAATCAACTATTTATTAAAATGTCTATTTACCCTTTATTAAAAGAACCTTAATATAAAGTGTGACTTCCAGTTTGTAATGTAGATATGACCAAAGCAATGTCCATAGAACATGCTAAGGCCTAAGGCTGTAGCATATTTCAGGAATAAGGTGAAAGTCCTACCTACACTATACAATGAAACCAACACAGCTGTCACTGGGATGCAGAGGAGGTCTGAATGCTGCACTATAGGTACTCCCTGACTCCTTTTCTGGTTCAGAGCAGACAGGTTCATTGGCATCAGGGTAGATTAAACCAAAGGACCAAGGCTACTGAGTTAAACAGAGATACACCAGGGCTGAATTTGGCACTGAGTTGCTCCAATCACACGATGCTTCTACCTCGGTGTTTCATGGGCTAAGCTTGTTAGCTGCTGTCCACCTGGAGAGCCCTGTGAAAGCCTCTCTCCAACTTGTTAAGCTCTTACAAAATCTCAGTTATTAGTTTTTGTTAACTTTCCCCAAACTCAATTTTGTTTCAAAACTAGTGAGATAGGAACACAGCCTGACCCAGCGTCCCCAGAAAAAAATCACGGACGCAAGAGTTGCTAGAAATACTCATTTTTTTTATATGGTGTTTCAAAACCACAGATGACAAATACAATTTTTTATTTCAAACCACAACAAGAAGAAATCTCATTGTTACAAACTACACAGAATCAGGGCTTCCTTCCTTACCTTGTAAATAGACGTTATATGTACAAACTCAATTACAAAGATTCTCACGGCCATTGACTACACCCTACAGAATGGCGACAGCTAATGTGCCAGGCAGTGTTTTACAGCTGTGGAGATGCACTTTATATTAAGATTTCAAATTAAAAAAACAAAACAAAACATGCTTTACACATAAAAGTTTAGTCTTTAAAAAAACCCCACAAATTTGGTATCATTATAACTTTTAGTGCACATATGGTGTCCCCATTCCATTGTCAAATATCACTCCTCTCCCAAATAAGCGTTTTTGGATAGGAAGTGGGGCAGAATCATGTGAACCGTCATTCATTGGCCGCAGGTCCCATCCACACTTCATATGAAACAATGGTGTTGTAACCTGTCTCATCTAACCCTTTACAACAGACATGTCTCCGTGCTGCAGATTTTTTCACAGTGCAACCATGTTACAGATGTTTATGTGTTCACACCTACCCTAGGTTTGTAGCAGTGCATTGTGGGAATCATAGAATCATAGAATATCAGGGTTGGAAGGGACCTCAGGAGGTCATCTAGTCCAACCCCCTGCTCAAAAGCAGGACCCATCCCCAGTTAAATCATCCCAGCCAGGGCTTTGTCAAGCCTGACCTTAAAAACTTCTAAGGAAGGAGAATCCACCACCTCCCTAGGCAACGCATTCCAGTGTTTCACCACCCTCCTAGTGAAAAAGTTTTTCCTAATATCCAACCTAAACCTCCCCCACTGCAACTTGAGACCATTACTCCTTGTCCTGTCCTCTTCCACCACTGGGAATAGTCTAGAACCATCCTCTCTGGAACCACCTCTCAGGTAGTTGAAAGCAGCTATCAAATCCCCCCTCATTCTTCTCTTCCGCAGACTAAACAATCCCAGTTCCCTCAGCCTCTCCTCATAAGGCATGTGTTCCAGACCCTTAATTATTTTTGTTGCCCTTCGCTGGACTCTTTCCAATTTATCCACATCCTTCTTGTAGTGTGGGGCCCAAAACTGGACACAATATTCCAGATGAGGCCTCACCAATGTCGAACAGAGGGGGACGATCATGTCCCTCGATCTGCTCGCTATGCCCCTACTTATACATCCCAAAATGCCATTGGCCTTCTTGGCAACAAGGGCACACTGCTGACTCATATCCAGCTTCTCATCCACTGTCACCCCTAGGTCCTTTTCCGCAGGGTCCTTTCTGCTGCCTAGCCATTCGGTCCCTAGTCTGTAGCTGTGCATTGGGTTCTTCTGTCCTAAGTGCAGGACCCTGCACTTATCTTTATTGAACCTCATCAGATTTCTTTTGGCCCAATCCTCCAATTTGTCTAGGTCCCTCTGTATCCTAATTCTGCCCTCCAGCGTATCTGCCACTCCTCCCAGTTTAGTATCATCCGCAAATTTGCTGAGGGTGCAATCCACACCATCCTCCAGATCATTTATGAAGATATTGAACAAAACTGGGAAAATCTGGGCAGCTCTCATGACACCTCAACAGGGTCTAGAGTAGAGGACATGCTGCAGCAGGGGGCCAAAGCATGCTGGGCTGTTCACCTGCACAGCAAAAACATGTTACAAACTGGTTACAAGAAGCCAACCATGTTCCAGGCTAGATCTGAACTGAGCCAAAACTACCTAGTTAGCTGCCATGATTACTAACTGAGTGTTAATAGTGTCGTGTATGTAGACACAAGCCATGGTTAGGGTCAGCTGTGCCACTAATAAGTTACAAACTCAATTGGAAGTTGTAGTGTAGCCAAGGTCTAAAACTCCTGGGCTTTAGCAGCAGTTTCCACATGAAATTAGGAGTGTGCTGATAGTTAACTGGTGTGACTGACTTTGTCCCAAACTCCCCTCAGCCCTGTCCCTTTAACTCAAAATCTCTGTTCTACAGCTTCTGAGCGCCCCAAAGTGGATGTGTCAGCTTAAAACTGAAAACCCAGATCTCCTTCCCACACACCGCAATAACCGAACCAAGAGATTATTCTTCTCTGCAGTTGTCCAAGTTCCAACTGTTTGTAATGATCTAGAAGACAAGAGTCTTTTGAATCTCTTGATCCTTAGTCCTATCTCCTGTTCTCCAATGAGAAGCTTCTGCTTTCTTGCTCTCTCCTCCCAAGGTCTTTGCTTCTTCCTGAATGCTTCCATCAGCAGCTGTTGCCTGCCTACTTTCCACCACTGGTGGCTGAAGCACACTGATCTGTGATGGCATGGCAATCTCTGTTCCACATGTACAGATTCTCCGTAGGGACGCCTCACAATGTTGCAAATCCATCTCCTTCAATACACACATGGTTGACAATACTGTATATCTATATAGTGTGTTGAGATACCATCCGCTCAGAAATACACAAGCTGCAGAAAGACAAACTTGTGCTCTCCAGTCACATCTCCGCCATGCACTCAGGCTCCCACAGGTGCCATTAGTTTATGGGGTCTATTATACAGGAACCTTTTCTTCAAACTACAGTCTACCCAAATCTTCATTTAAAAATATTTCCCTTGTGAGAGTTCACTGCTGTACACACAAGAGTTATACTGGACTGTCTTCCGCACCACTTCAGGCTGAATTTCGCAAAGGTTCTTCCCACCCCACTTGTCCTGTCAAGGCCCGTAGATGATGATCACAGACCAGAGACAGCACAAAAGTGATGCTAAAATGGTGTCAGCTTCTTTAGTGCAGAGATGAAACCAGACTGGAACACCAGAACCAGAACCCTGGATCTGGATCTGAAGCAGAACTCCGGGGAAGTTTAGAGCCAATCTCAGCCTGGGCCCTGGGCTCTCTTTTAAAGTGTTCTAGAAGCTGTTTGGTGATTCTGCATTTTGGGTGTTGCTGAAGGCAAGGACAATGCCAGGTTTGAGGGATGGAGGTAAATGTGTGGAGAGAGGTGGCGCCAAAGTCTGTGCATGGGGCTTTGAGTGAGGGCTCCGCTGGCAGGAGCTTGAAGAGCAGCACTGAGCTTGTGTACACATTTACATAACGGTTTAATCAAAGTCTTAGGGCTGCTTATGTCTTTCCTTGCTGGCAGATATAAACTACTTCCCCAGCACCCAAAACCCATAGCAGGTAATCTTCCTCCTCCCCTGGCAGATACAGATTGATACCCACATTCTGCTCTGCTACTGTAGTGTAAAGCTGGGGCCCCTCCAGGGAACACTCCCCAAGTGTCAATGAGAGTAGACACAAGATACCTGTGAGGACTCTATGGGGCAACTTTTTGGCAGCCAAGTTCAGAGCCAGGGATAGGCAAACTTCTAGCTGTGATCCATTAATTTATGTCCTTTCAAGAGCCCATCCAGCGGATATCCCCAACCCTGCTCTGACTCTCCCCCATAACTCAGCTATCCCCCACTTTCCCATGCTGTGTACAAAGCAGTGTCTTCACATTTCTACCCAAACAAACACTAAATGGAATGTAAAAATGATAGCTGCCATTCCCTGGGTCTTCCTCCCATCCCTGGAGGGGTGAAGCTCTGGGGGAAGGAGAGGGAGCAGGGCTATTTCAGAACCAAACTTTATCAGAGCAACAAGGCCCCAATTCTACAAAGCACACAGATGCCTAAATACCTTTGAGGCTCTAGGCCTTAGTCCCTTTGAAGTCAATGGGACTGACAGCATGTGCTCAAGAACTTTGCTGAATCAGGTTCTATGGGTCAAATCAGGTGCAGTTAGAATGGCCTCTTTCTTCAGGCAGGATTTTCACAGACAGGCTCCCATGCCATTGGCTGGTTTTGCCAAAGCCTTTTCCATGACGTGTGGGTGTGTTTCGGTGCAAAATGAGAAGCAGAATTGCTCATGCATTGGTTTCCAGTTCTGATGATCCACGCGCTCAGCCCACTCCCATGTTTAGTCTGAACAGTCACAGTACAGCAAGAAAGCCCCTCAGTGCTGGGACTCGCCTGGCAATGAATCTTGGGATACCAAGGATTGACTTAGCAACTGTGCAGAGACTGTGTCATTTCACTGGCATTTTTTGTCCCCTCAAGCTGCTTAAATGGAGGGTTGACTAGAAGTCCTGCTGTCCATTAGTCAGTCCTATGTGTATTACTGTTCCCCACAAGGGGAGGGTCTAATTCCCTTTATGTTACTCAGTGTGTGCCCACTCCTAATCATTAGTCTGGGGACCTCCGCCCCAGGGGCCAGGTTCCTGTTAGCACAGAAGGTGCCTTACAACTCTCTTCAGCACAGAGCAAGTGAAGCACGAATGGGGACCACTGCAGGTCTGTATGGGAAGGGGAGAACTCTTGCTAGCTCCAGGCTGGTGGATGTGAGCCCTTGGTGGCACCATTGTTGCTGCTGGTGATCCCCATTCCCAAGGGTCAGGCTGAATGCCCCTGCCCTCATCGCTCAGTCCAGCGAGACTTCACAGGGGTTCTCATGAGCCTGGTGCGCATCCTCATAGATACGCCGGAAGTCTTTGTAACGGGGAGCACAGGTAAGCCAGGCCTCCCCAAAGTGCAGCCACCCCATGAAGAGGAAGCTGCCAGGTCCTGGTTTCACTCCACATTGCAGCAGGGTGTGGATGCTGCCCATGGATTTGCTGGATTTGCCGGCAGGCTGGAACAAAGTGAATTTCTGCCTGTGAATGCGCATGGCACTCACGCTGATGATGGATTCCTGCATCTCAACATCATTGGAGACGGTCCGGATGTTGCCACGAATGACTGAGGGGAAAGGTGGTAGGACAGACACAATTACTCATTGATCCAGAGCTAGGAACTGTTGCACTGCTGTGACTTCTGCATCCCTAACTGGGAACACTTAGCTATCTGGTAAAAACTGACTAGGTCCAGGTGGCACAGGCTATCCACTGGGTCACTGCACCAGCCTCTTATTTCTGGAGACCTGGGCCCAAAGGCTGATGTATTTACATGTTCAGCACACTGGCAGCTCTGCATGGGGATGTGGTGCTGGAATAGTTGAAGGGACTGCAGGTCACAATGGAGGTGCATTATAGATTTGTAAGACCAGAAGGAACCACTGTGAGCATCAAGTCTGACCTCCTGCATAACACAGGCCAGAGAACCTCTCCCAGGGATTCCTGCACTGAGCCCAGTTACCAGTGCTTTGTGGGCAGGGGAGCTGCAGGAGAGAATTGAGGTTCACTGGCCAAAATAAGAAGGGGAGATACTTGAGTAAGTCTAGGGGACAGTGGCAAAAACACCCATGCTCAATCCATGCCAGTGCTCTTATCCTTACTACCACGGCTAGAGCTGCATCCCCCGCAGAAGTCTAGTATAGACCAGTGCTCAGTGGGTTCTCCTGTGCTAATCCCCTTGTAATGCAGATGATGGATGTCAAGTGCTGTATTCTAAAGGGATCATCACCACCCCTCTCTCTCTGTTCTAGTTGGGATGTCACTCCATGAAAGAAATGGCTGGTAAGTTTAGAAAGAACACAAAAGAATATCCCCCTTCACACAGAGGACAGCCAACCTGGGGAATGTGCTTTTGCTGGGGGTCATTGAATACATAGGCTGGATACTCATGGGCATTTCCTAGCATTCACAGTTATGTACTGAGATAAAGGTTATGAAGCCCCATTCTTCAGTGCATGCACTGATCGCCTGTGAGGGTCAGGAAGGGATTTTCCCCTCCCTGCACATATTATGTGTAATACTGCACAATTAGCTGGGTGCATTCTAGTGGGGTTGGCCTTCCCTGAATCAGCAGGTATTGGCCTCTGCCAGACCACTGGATTTATGATCTGATCTAGCATGGCAAATCCCTTGCTCTTACGTTTGACTTCTTCATTGGCATGGCAACTCTGGACTGGACAGCCAGTGACCCCTGACCCTCCTTCTACTGTTTAGAGATGCAAATTAGAAGCTTAACAGCACGTGCAGGAATAATTGGCAACTGTACACTGTGGCACAGCCATGTGTGGACATTTAAATAGGAGCAAGGCTGTTTTCGGCTGCATGGTCACAGCCTGGGAGCAAATGCCTTGGCTTAGCTCTGTCGGCAGCACTTACCACAGGCTACCTGCTGACAATATTAACTCTGCCATGGCCTGGCCTGCCAGCTATGAGTCAGCTAATTAAGTGGCAGGAACAAAGGGCAATGGCTGGTTTGTTTGCCGTTGTAAAGCTGCCACACTGGGCTCTCTGTGATTCCACACCAACTGCCCCTTGTTTTGCTCAGCATATGGAAAGTTCACACTGCGAATAGCTCCCATGCACATGCTCTGTCAGATCTGGACTATGCCCAACCCTGTGTGTGCGTGCAGGGGCTGGCAAGGATGAAAAGATGTCCCCTCCTTCCCATTTCAAGTGCCTGGCTTCTGTGCTGCAGGAGAAGGAGCTTTTCTGCTTTGCCTATGCTGTTGAATTTCTCCCTCTTCCTCTTTTATTTCTGCACCAATTATTTCACTGGGAAGACCAGTGGAATACAGGGGTGTATGAAAGACTCAACACAGAGTACATTAAGTAACAAATCTGGCCACACAGTACTCCAGCTTTCATTCCAATACTTACTAGAGCGGGGTGGAACATTTTTGACCAAATGACTTTGACTGATATATGCAATTTTGTCAAAGAGGAAACGTTTTGCAGAAACGTATTGGTTTAGCCTGCTTTCATAGGCGAGGCTTTTTTTGGCCAAGGGCTCTCTGGTCACATCTGATGAGGGAAGGCGACCCAGATTGAAAAGCTCACATTTTCCATCCAAAAACAGATGTTTCAACATGATTCAGTTTAGCTAAAACGTGTGAAATGTTCTAATGTGGAACAAAAATAAAGTTCAGAACCTTGAGAACTGCCCCGGAATGAAATTGTTGCACTCTGCACAGCTCTAGTGCTTGCCAGAGATCTCCCAAAACTCCTTGGTAAGACGGGGAATAGATTTCAAGGCCTTTTAATCCACCAGCACAGTTCCTTACCACTTGAGATAAGGAAGAATCTCCTTAGTTGTCATAAGGCCTATGACACATAACTGAGCTGTTCTCATTCTCTCTAGTAGAGGCCAGTGCTAAACAGTACTGTGTATTATGTGCTGGTTAGCATGTCTCTTTATCATGGGGACATCAGAGACTGGATTTTTCTTTGTTCTGTGTTTAATTCTTGGATCCACTGATGTCAGACACCCCCGATTCCTGGAAAAAGAACCCGTGGGGGAAGAGAATGTGAAGCAGAAGAGGTCAACAGTAAATGTAGAAATGGCAAAAGCTTACTCACCAAAGTCACTAGTGCAAATGGCCATCAAGATCTCCGTGTTATTACACGGCCGGCATGCCCCTGCAGCATTCAAACAGAGAAAAGTTGTGTTAGAAGTGAGTCCCAGGCTTTCTTCTCAGATATTCCCGAGGCGGGAATGCTGGCTTAATCCCTTTTGTTTGCAGGTGCCACACAGCATCGCCATCTGGCCTCCTCAGACCATCGGGTGCCTGGGGCTCTGCCTTTGTTCTCACAAGGGTTGCTCTGCTGCCCAGTGCCCTCTCGGGGCTCTCTCTACTTGGAAGCTGGCCTCGTGGAATACAGCTTCCCCCTGCAATAGCACCATGCACAAAGGATGTGGATTCTGCAGAGAAAATACAAAGGTCCCAGAGTCAAGCTCAGAGCTTCTGGATTTGTGTGGGGAAAGCTGCAGAGGCAATGTGCTCTGAGGGAGCTCTGCTGAGTCAGGAATTGCAATGAGCTGCTCAGGAGAAGGGAAGAACAAGATAGGGATTGCTGGTATCCTGTATCCAAGTGCTTCCATGGTGCTCCACAGGATGTGCAAGGTGCTTGTGGGCCATTGCAGGCAGAGGTTATGCATGCAGAACATAAGCAGTGCTGGACAGTACCTTCTGCACTGAGGGACAGAGCATCGAACCCTCTGTGGGCAGAGAACAAGTGTGTTGGAGGAAATGTGGGCTGAAGTGTGATCCTCATCATGCTAATGAGCTGTTTAGCTACACTCTCCTCTCTTAGGCCTCACTCCTGCTCCTGGGCAGTAGAAAGTTGGCAGCTGCGCTCTCCCTGCCTTGCTCTGTACTTTGTAGCTTGTGCTCACACATGCAACACCTAGAATCATAGAATCATAGAATCATAGAATCTCAGGGTTGGAAGGGACCCCTGAAGGTCATGTAGTCCAACCCCCTGCTCGAAGCAGGACCAATTCCCAACTACATCATCCCAGCCAGGGCTTTGTCAAGCCTGACCTTAAAAACCTCTAAGGAAGGAGATTCTACCACCTCCCTAGGTAACGCATTCCAGTGTTTCACCACCCTCTTAGTGAAAAAGTTTTTCCTAATATCCAATCTAAACCTCCCCCACTGCAACTTGAGACCATTACTCCTCGTTCTGTCATCTGCTACCATTGAGAACAGTCTAGAGCCATCCTCTTTGGAACCCCCTTTCAGGTAGTTGAAAGCAGCTATCAAATCCCCCCTCATTCTTCTCTTCTGCAGGCTAAACAATCCCAGCTCCCTCAGCCTCTCCTCATAAGTCATGTGTTCCAGACCCCTAATCATTTTTGTTGCCCTTCGCTGGACTCTCTCCAATTTATCCACATCCTTCTTGTAGTGTGGGGCCCAAAACTGGACACAGTACTCCAGATGAGGCCTCACCAATGTCGAATAGAGGGGAACGATCACGTCCCTCGATCTGCTCGCTATGCCCCTACTTATACATCCCAAAATGCCATTGGCCTTCTTGGCAACAAGGGCACACTGCTGACTCATATCCAGCTTCTCGTCCACTGTCACCCCTAGGTCCTTTTCCGCAGAACTGCTGCCTAGCCATTCGGTCCCTAGTCTGTAGCTGTGCATTGGGTTCTTCCGTCCTAAGTGCAGGACCCTGCACTTATCCTTATTGAACCTCATCAGATTTCTCACCTGTGAGAGTTAGATCAAGAGTCCAGCTTTACCCTGCAGTCAAAATACAACCATTCTGCCAGAGGAAGGTGATGACCCGGGTCAGTGTTTGGGCGTATTGGTTTCCATTCTAGCCTGGCTCCCTTTCCCCAGATCTCTAGCTGCTGACTTCCATCTCTGGTGTAGTACCAGTTTGGGAGACTGCATCCCAATTCCTTACTGTCCCAAGCTCCGCTGAGACAACAGATCCTCCTGTTCCCGCCCACCCCTGCTCTGCACATGGTATGTAAAGGCAGAGTCGGCTGAAGGTCTCCTGGGGCCCTGGTTCAGAGCAAGTGGAGGAACCCTGGCGCCAGAACTGGGGCCCCGCCCATGGCCCAACCCCATTCCACCCCTTCCCTCATAGCCCTGCCCCTGTTTCGCCCACAGTCCCACCCCCCCATTCTGCCCCCCCACTTCACCCCCATTCCCACCCCTACCTCCTGTTCGCTCCTTTCTCCCGCCCCCACTGCAGCCTCAAGACCAGAGAAGCTCTGTCCCCCCCACCACAGGCCCAGCTCCACAGCGGTGAGTGAGAGCTACTTGAGACTCAGGGCTACAGCGAGGGCTCCAGGTGCTGGGACTTTCCCCGCTGCCCCGTGCTTCTCCTGGGGACCTGGGTCTTGGTGCTGGGGCTTCCCCTGCCTGCCCCACGGCTTCTGCCAGGGCTCCTGGCTTCTGCCGCCCCATAGCAAATTTCTGCTGTGGTGCTCATTTTTCCGGGGCGCCCCAATTGGCTGGGCCCCCTGGGCAAGGGTAATCCACCACTGGCAAAAGTCACTCTCAGCAAAACCCCTCCTTTCTCCATAGTGCAGGGCAGTCTCCACTGAGCAAATGGCTGTGTAAGACAGTGGTTCTCAGCCAGGGGTCCAGGGCCCCCTGGGGAGCTGTGAGCAGGTTTCAGGGGGCCCGCCAAGCAGGGCTGGCATTCGACTTGCTGGGGCTCAAGCCCTACTGCATGGCACTGAAGCCCGGGGCCCCAAGTCCCGCCACCTGAGGCTGAAGCTGAAGCCTGAGCAACTTACCTTAGCAGGGTCCTCTGTGGTGTGACCCTGCTTGCTTCCCCTAATGCTGGCCCTGGCTTTTATATGCAGAAAACTAGTAGTTGTGGCACATGTAGGCTGTGGAGTTTTTATAGCATGTTGTGGGGGCCTCAGAAAGAAAAAGACTGAGCACCTCTGGTGTAAGGCACTGTTGAGACTGCTCCACTGCCCCTCCAGAGAGCATAAGGAGTTAAGAGACCAGAGAAAGCACATTTCAGAATTGGTGCACTAGCCGCTGGAACCAGAAAAACAAGTCAAGATACCACTGCCCACCCCTCCGCCCCTGGAGTTCACACTCTGGAGCAGAGACTGAAAGGAATCCTTAAGCTGAGGTGCACATCTGTCTGAGCCAGGCTGCCCTCTGGGCTGAGGCCGTGGGGCTGGGCAAGTGCAACAGGACTAACTGCTGTTCATAACCCTCTCTGAGCTTTGCCAGATCTCATGGGCTAACACTGCTTGGGCCACACACTACTCAGCCAAAAGGGGAATAATATTTAGCATTCATATTTCTCAAGCATTAATTTATCTTTGCATCTCCCTTCCCAAGGACCCAAGGAAGCATTATCCCATTTGGCAGCAAAGAGAGGTAAAGTGATTTGCCCAAAGCAACACAGTGAATTGGCAGCAGAGTGCAGGAACTGAGCTGACAAATTCTTGACTGTTAGCCCTGAATTCAAGTCACTAGACCACATAGCTTCTGTGTATCATGTTCCCCATGGAAAACTTCGTACACTTGCTTCATTTCTGTGGCATGGTGCCCCCCAAAAACACACTCACAGGCTGATGTGTTGTTCCCCATCATCCTACAGTACGACAGTATCTTTCCTGTACAGGCTGTCTGGTGATGTTCCAAGCTGTGTACACCTGAGTTGCAGGCTGGGCGGTCCACACACACATGAGTTTTGGTCCTGCCTGACCTCCAGTTTATAATAGTATTATTATGCATCCCCTCTGCGACCTCTGTCAGTTGGCATCAAGTGGTCCCTGGGTCACAGTGAAGCCTGCTAAACAACCAGTGGGGCCATTGGACGATCGAGATGCTAAAGAAGCACTCAAGGACGATAAGGCCATTGCGGAGAAACTAAATGAATTCTTTGTATCGGTCTTCATGGCTGAGGATGTGAGGGAGATTCCCAAACCTGGGCCATTCTTTTTAGGCAACAAATCTGAGCAAGTGTCCCAGATTGAGGTGTCATTAGAGGAGGTTTTGGAACAAATTGATAAACTAAACAGTAATAAGTCACCAGGCCCAGATGGTATTCACCCAAGAGTTCTGAAGGAACTCAGATGTGAAATTGCAGACCTACTAACTTTAGATTGTAACCTATCGTTTAAATCAGCTTCTGTACCAAATGACTGGAGGATAGCTAATATGATGTCAATTTTTAAAAAGGGCTCCAGAGGTTATCCTGGCAATTACAGGCAAGTAAGCCTGACTTCAGTACCAGGCAAACTGGTTGAAACTATAGTAAAGAATAAAATGGTCAGACATCTAGATGAACATAACTTGTTGGAGAAGAGTCAACATGGTTTTTGTAAAGGGAAATCATGCCTCACCAATATACTAGAATTCTTTGAGGGGGTCAACAAGCATGTGGACAAGGGGGATACAGTGAATATAGTGTACTTAGATTTTCAGAAAGCCTTTGACAAGGTCTCTCACCAAAGGCTCTTAAGCAAAGTAAGTTGTGATGGGATGAAAGGGAAGGTCCTCTCATGGATTGGTAACTGGTTAAAAGATAGGAAACAAAGGGTAGGAATAAATGGTCAGTTTTCAGAATGGAGAGAGGTAAATAGTGGTGTCCCTCAGGGGTCTGTACTGGGACCCATCCTATTCAACATATTCATAAATGATCTGGAAAAAGGGCTAAACAGTGAGGTGGCAAAATTTGATTCAAAACTACTCAAGATAGTTAAGTCCCAAGCAGACTGCAAAGAGCTACAAAAAGATATCACAAAACCAGGTGACTGGGCAACAAAATGGGAGGTGAAATTCAATGTTGGTAAATGCAAAGTAATGCACATTGGAAAACATAATCCCAATCATACATATAAAATGATGGGGTCTAAATTAGCTTTTACCACTCAAGAAAGAGAGTTGTGGATAGTTCTCTGAAAACATTCACTCAATGTGCAGCAGCAGTCAAAAAAGTGAACAGAATGTTGGGAATCATTACAAATGAGATAGATAATAAGACAGAAAATATCATATTGCCTCTATATAAATCCATGGTATGCCCACATCTTGAATACTGCATGCAGATATGATCGCCCCATCTCAAAAAAGATACACTGGAATAGAAAAGGTTCAGAAAAGGGCACCAAAAATGATTAGGGATATGGAGCTGCTGCCAGATGAGGAAATATTAATAAGACGGGGACTTTTCAGCTTGGAAAAGAGATGACTAAGGGGGGATATGGTAGAGGTCTATAAAATCATGACTGGTGTGGAGAAAGTAAGGAAGGATGTGTTATTTACTCCTCATAACACAAGAACTATGGGGTCACCAAATGAAATTAATAGGCAGCAGATTTAAAACAAAAGGAAACATTTGTTTTTTCACACAACGCACAGTAAACCTGTGGAACTCCTTGCCAGAGGATGTTGTGAAGGCTAAGACTATAACAGGGTTCAAAAAAGAACTAGAAGAGTTAATGGAGGATAGGTCCATCAATGGCTATTAGCCAGGATGGGCCAGGGATCATGTCCCTAGCCTCTGTTTGCCAGAAGCTGGAAATGGGACACAGGGGATGGATCACTTGATGATTACCTGTTCTGTCCATTCCCTCTGGGGCACCTGACATTGGCCACTGTTGGAAGACAGGATACTGGGCTAGATGGACCTTTGGTCTGACCCAGTATGACCATTCTTATGTTCACAGACCCCTCATTCTGCCAGGTGCTGTATGTACACATAGCAAGAGACAGCTCTGACCTAAAGCAGTTACAAGCTAAACAGACAGGATCGATAAGGAGAGGGAGAAAGCAAGCATGACCACCCTTGCTTTACAGCTGGGGAACAAAGTGCTTAAATGACTTGCCCAAGGTCAGCTGAGGAGTCTGTGGCAGAGCCAGGAATTGAACTGACTCTCAGGGTGCTGTGTTAAGTACAAGACCATCTTTCCTCCCAGTACAGTTTATCCTTCCCCTAACCTGTCAATCTAAAGGTCTCAAAGCGCTTTACAAAGAGCAATTCATGTATCCTTGCCCCTCCCCTGCATGGTAGTTCATTGTTGGCATCCCCAGTGCAGAGAGCAGGAAACTGAGCAGTTCAGTGACTTGCCCTGGGAACAGAATACAGAGTCCCTGACTTGGAGCACACTCACGGGACCACCGTGTGCCCTTTGAGGAGGAGCCTCTTCTACTACCCATACAAACTGGGAAGTAAGAGCCAAATGAAACTGAACTGGTAACAGCCATTAGGGGAGAGGGGAAGCCCTCTCCATTCTTGGGACATTCTGAACAGGGCCATGAATGCTATTTCTCACCAAGGGGAAATGTTTCCTCTACCCCAACCCCAGTGTTCTTTAATAATCAGAAATACACAGTGATTGACAGTTGCCACAGGAGGAAGGCAATGACATGCTCCCCTTCTGTGATATAGGCTAGAGATGGAGCCAGGGATTTGGCTTGAACCCAAGTTTCCCTTGGTCTGAATGACCCCTACCACATGCATGTCCCTCCCTGGTTCAAACACTGCTGAGCTTTCGAGCTGAGAACCCAGAGTAGGAGGAGAACTTTCCTGGTGTTCAAGGTGCCTGGGATTCAACAGTCGGTTTCTGTCCTCTTATACAGACAGGCTCAGGTTGTCTCTAGGCTCAAGGTTCCCAGACAAGCCCTTGTGGCAGGTGTTGGTGTTATGGTACCTTTACATGGGGTGATGAACCTGACTAGGACAGACTAGCTCTCCAGGCAGGGAGGGGTATGCTAGCTCTGTGGCAAAATACTGCTAATTCACCCAGCCCACAGCTTCCAGATCTTTGTGCTCTTTCCCTGACCCAGGGGTCAGCTCTGCTGCCATCGGAGGTGTTCCTATGGCTGGGAAGGAGAAGAGGGGGGAGGAGCACCATTGCTGCAGGGCCAGGCTATTTCTTTCCAAATCCCCTTTCCTGAAAAACCAGTCACACTAATCCCGTATTTAGGGTTCACAGGGCGCTGCAAGAGAGCAACCCTTGCCATTCCCATGTGGAGAATGCCGGGGTTGCCATGGCAACCAGGAGAGCCCCTTATCTCTGGGGTGGCTGAATGGCAGGGATGTCCCTCACGGGCTGCAGAGTGGACTTTTGTTAGCTCAGCCGTGGAGCGAGATGGCACTGATTAAACATGTCTATAGGAGCTGCTTTGAGATCCTCCTCCGGCTCCTGGCTTCGCTCTCTAAACACGCTCAGGAAAAGAGGCCAGCTTGGGTTGCCATCCCCTCCCTGTCCCTGACAGGAGGCCCACATCATGCGGGTCCTTTAGCAGCCAGTAGCTGGAACCTCCTACAGCCTGTGCCTCTTTGCAGCCTGGAGCAGCAAGAAACCCAAGAAGATTCCCACTGACCAAAATGCTCCTACTGTGTAACAGCTGCGTGGCTCAGGGCCCTGCTATTGCGGTCAATAATGGGCCCAATCCTGGCACACTGACTCAAGCAAAACTTCCCATTGTCTTCATTAATCGAGAGGAATTTTGCCTGAATTCAAACTAAGTAAGGCCTTGAGGACTGATCTTTTAATAATTAATTATCCTGTGAAGTATATCAGCAGTGGTACCCTGATCTTACAGAGAGGGAAGCTGAAGTACAAAGAGGTGAAGCAATTTGCCCAAGGTTATGCAGTGAGTGAGTCAGTGTCAGAATCAGAAATAGAACCCAGGAGTCCTGGGTCCTTGTGTCCTGCTTCAGCCAGCCTCCCTCTCTAAAAGGATGCGCACAAGTCTAGATTTTTAGCTGGCCCTGGTAGAACAATGCAGTAAGGAATCTCATCCTGCTGGAGCAGCAGCTCATGTCAGGAGGACACTGTTGTGGTGGATCTCACCCTCCTTGCCCAGTGAGGGAGGAGACTGGCAAAGTCACAGGACAGGACAGGAGGGCAATACAGATTAGCAGCGAAATTGGTTAATAGTCCTGGTGTAACCCACACACCTCCTGGGTGTGGTGTTCTGTTCCCTCTCGTGGCACCAAGACTACTTAGAGAGAGAGATTAATGAGTCTTCTTTACAGACTTGGCTGTATGGCTTTTAGGTCATGCAGTAGAGGCTCATACATTTAGCTCCAGAGGTCCCAGGTTCTTTCCCGCCCACCGATGGCCAGGGTCTGTCAGTGTTACACTTGCACCCTGTGGAGCCATGCCACTGGCTATTTACCTTCCATGCTGAGGTTGCTGGAGGGCAGTGAGAGGCGTGAGTTCCAGTCTCCCCGCAGCTCATAGCGGAAGGCAGCAATCCGACGGCTGATGTCCTGGTGCAGGGTAGACTGAAGGAACAGTGCCACTTTCTCCTGGGGCAGCCAGGTGAAGCAGCGCACCCTGCGGCGAAGGGAGGCATCTGCCTCAGACAACAGCAGCTCCAGGATCCCATTCCTCTCCAGATAGATCTGAGCTCCTCGGAAGGTGCTGGAGGGCTTGATACAGGTGGTGACCTGCCTGGGGCTCTTCCCTTTGGCTGCAGTGCTAATGGGGAGGCGAGGGGAGAGGCTGAGGCGTAAAGCCCCGGCTGGGTACAGCCACTCAAGTGAGCCCTCAGCACAGTGTAGAGAGATCTGCTCCACGCTGCCCGATTCCTGGGACAGGCCACTGCAAGGGGAGAACAAACGCATGTTACCATATTACTAGTCCAGTGGTTCTCAACTTATTACACATTGTGGGCCGCATATGTGGCCCACAATGTGTTAGCTGGGCCGCAGGGGCCAAGTGGCAGGGCAGCAGCAGTCCGGACCCCTGCCATGTGGGGCTGGCTTCCCACCCCAGACCCTTGCCGCATGGCTGCTCCGGACTCCCACCACATGTCTGCCCTGGACCCCAGAGCTTGTGGGGCTGGGTGACTGTCTGCCCCAGACCCCCACCACATGGCTGCCCTGAACCTCAGTGCTTGCAGGGCCGGGCCGCTGCCCCGGACCCCATGAGGTGGGTTGGCAGCCCTGGACCCCTGCCATGCAGCTTCCCTGGACTGGGGCCGGCTGGCTGCCCCAGACCCTGGAGTTCACGGGGCCGGCCGCCTGCCCCAACCCCAGACCCCTGCTGCGTGGGGCGGGCTGGCTTCCCCGACCCTGGACCCCTGCCGTGCAGGGCTGGCCAGTTGCCCCAACCCCGGATCCTCACCCCGTAGCTGCCCTGGACTCCAGAGTTTGCGGGGCCAGGCAGCTGCCCCAGGCCCCAACCCTGTGGGGCCAGCTGGCAGCCCTGGACACCTGACTCCACGGGGCTGGCTGGCAACCTGAACCCCGGACTGCTACCACATGGGGCGGGCTGGCAGCCCTTACCCTGACCCCGCCACGCTAGGCGGTGGGCAGCCCGGATCCCTCCGCACTGAGAACCTGGCAGACCCTGGCATGCAGGCAGACTTTAGCACACAGCTGAGCTGGGCCACAGCTGTGTGCTAATTGGGCTGCATGCAGCCACGGGCCCTGGGCTGAGAACCACTGTACTAGCCCATTGGCACAAGGCTCTCTATCCCAGCATGCTCCAGGGCCACTTCAGCTCCCAATGGTCTCGCCATGCAGCAGATTAAACTAGCATCCAATGGCCACAGCTACCAGCACTGACTCCACTTGCCAAGAGCCTTGGGAGTAGGACTAGGCCCTGATCCTCTAAGGTATTTAAGTTAGATGCCTAACTCCCACTCAAATCAATTGGATGTAAGCACTTAACTCCCTTGCAGGATGTGGGTTTTAGTGACTGGGGCACTCCATGACGGAGCTAGAATGTGGGCTTGTAACAAAGAGTCAGGCTGAACACTTTCCTGACTGCTCCTTTTGTCTTCCTCCTCCAGTTCTGGGCTGACTTCATGCTTACTCGCTCCTTCCTTGTGGAGCAGCCTGCTCAATTACTGTGCGACCAGCTTGGAAATCACCTGTTCCAGGTGGAGATGGACCTGAGTCAGACCCTGTATCCCCAAATCCACTGCCCCTATCCAAATTTCTTAGCTGTTCCTCATTTTTTCTCTGGGTGCTGAACCCAGACCTTGGCTCCGGACACCCTGATGCTTTGGTGAAGTTCAGACGCAAATGCAGCGCTGGGGGCCCCCTTCTCTACCTCACTGCAGAAGCAGCATGACAGTCATAGAATCCTAGGCTAGCAGGGACTGCAAGAGTCAGCTAGTCTAACCCCCTGCCAAGATGCAGCATTATGAGGTGGAAAGGCTCCAGGGAATGAAGCTGCTCTTATCCCTATTATATCAGCATCTCCTAACCAAAGACACCACTAAGCTTGAATACATGGCATACCAGGCTCCAGGCCTGGACGTCTCATGCTCTTCTTTATCCAAATTATGCCTGATCTTCCCAAGAGATGAACATCCTCCTCTTTCCCTAAGACTTTATCTTCTTTCTGGCTGCCTGGCCACCACCAAACTCCTCCTTTCCATGGCCAGAATTTTCAAGCCTGGCCTCTGATTGTGAGGGGAGGCCCTCAGTTTTTTTGCGGGGGGCTAATATCTTGAACCTCATTGTCTGAGCTACTGGGCCCCAGCAGCTTGTAGAGATTTCACTTGTGGATGTTCAGCACCTCCTGGTTCAAGATGCCTCTAGAGCAGTGGTTCTTAACCTTTACTGCAGCCTGCACCCCTTTGGTTCTCAAAATATGTTCTCTCACCCCTTATCAAAAATCATTGAAGTAGGTCAGTTCTTTAAAAGTAGATATATTTTTGTTTGTATATTATAGTAATTGTTAAATGTATAATGTTAATAAATACATAGGTTTGATGAAACAAAGTAGTTGTACTTACGTGCCTGTGCTCAATTTGTGTTTTCAATGATTTACCTTCTGAAAAAATCTGGCATGTCTCGCACCCCCAGGGGGTGCATGCACCCCAGGTTAAGAACCACTGCTCTAGAGGGTACCTGCAAATCACTGGCCTCTGTGACATTGTTGGCCTGAGGTTTTATCATAATCATTGAGTTTGGGTCCAGAAGTGGCCACCAGATCATCTAGTCTTATCTCCTGCATATCCCAGGCCTCAGACACCACTCAGGAGCTTTTGTTGTCTCCTGGCTTTTGCTTTGCTAACTGAGAGGACAGGAGCTTGGTACAGGGAGTCTGCATGGGACCCTGCTCAGCAAGGGCTCTGGCAGGCATACACGTGCCTGCCACGGTGGGTGTGGCTCTAGAGGGGAGGTATCAGGCTGAAGGACCAACTCCACCACAGCCTCTTGTGGCATCACTTGTGTCTGCCCTATAGTTCATGTCTGAAAGCTGTCCGATGACTAAGCTGGTTAGATCCCGCTGCAGCAGCTGCTTAATCACTGACCCATTTCTTACCCACCAGACTGACAGATTATAAAGAGTCCTCCAGGCCCTAATAGTTGCCATATGGTGATGTTCAGTGACCTGCTGCCAACTCTTGTGATACTGAGGGATTTTCTTAGCACCCCAGCTCCTGGAGCCAAGTGAGTATGTGAGACTCCCAGCTTTCTTTTCTTTTTTTAAAAAAGGATGTTTGTATCTCTTGAGGCTGCAGAGCAAAGCTTGAAAACATGAAGGGAGCACAGCTTAAAGGCTCAGAAACCAGAAGGCAAATGCAAAGAGCCCAAAATTTATTATTTAAAAAAAAAAATCCTGATTTTTTTGTGCCTGACTCACAATTTTTGAATGCCTCAGGCTGGCCATAGTGGGCATGTTGGAGGGAAAGTGAGCCTGGGGGACACGTGATAGAACCAGCTCAGCTACTGCACCAGAGCCTTTCCTTCCAGAATAAATGGCAATGTATAGTGTTCCCCTTACTCAAAGGTGAACCCAAGGGGTTTGGCTGAGAAGAGACGGAGAAGGCTGGAGCCCCATACAGCTGGGCAAACTCCTAAGAGGTGTCCATCGAAAGGCAGAGGGAGCTCACAGAGAAGGACAGGTTGTGGGGGCAGTGGGGGTAGCTTGCCCCTGTGCCCGCCTGTTGTCTTTTACAAATTAAAGCCCAGCTTTCTCCTGAATCCGAGATGGGATTTACTCTACTTTCCTTGTGCAAGAAGAGATTTGAGGCCATTCAGAGTAAACTTAGTTGAGCAGCAGGCCTGCAGATGCTTGCTGTGGGCAAAGTCATCCTGCTGCTCTACTACGCTGCTGCCTTGTATACATCTCTAGGCACGTGGAGTGTGCACAGTATAAACAACAGAGAGTGCAGAGGGGAGTCCCCCTTCCTGGAGGATGAACTATGGCCTCCACTTTTCTCCATGCTGGCGTTTAGTATCTATAGCCACTCCTGACGCCTTAACCTAGCCCCTCCCTGTGGGCCTGGAACAACCGTTTGGTGCAGGAACTCAGTGTCCTTCAGCGACATTCCCCTGCAGGGAAGGCAGAATTTTAAGGCTCCATGATTGTATTTTGTACCTCTCCTTTGGTGTTTGATAGCCCTTTTTAGCTAAGGATCTCCAAGTGCATTAAGCAATCAAACAATTAATCATCGGTCCCCCTTCCCCCACGATGAGGTGGGTTAGACAGGTAAAGTGAGACACAGAGAGACTTGTGCAAGGTCATACCATGAGCCTGAAGCACAGCCTAGGCAGCCCAGCTCCTAATCACATTCCTGACCCACAAGACCATCTTTTATCTGTAACGCAAATGAAGATACATTAGAATCCCATATGTGAGAACAGAATGGAGGCTCTGAGAGGCAGCATGTACTAATGGATAGGGCACCCAGCTGGGACCGTTAGAGCAAACACATAGCAGGATACAATCTCTGCCCCAAAGTGGTTGCAGTAGAGAAGACAGGCAAAGGATTGCAGGGGAAACCAAAGCACAGAGCAGGAATGTGACTTGCCAAGTAGCAGAGACAGGAATAGAACCAGGTCTTCTTAGTCATAGTTTAGTGTCCAATCCAGTCTACCTCCTGGGTTTTTTTTAAACAAAAAAAATTATAATATAAAACTACTGTGTTGTTCTATAGTGCTTTCCACCCAAAGAACTCAAAGCAGGCAGGGATATATAAGGAGCACTTCACACCTGTATTGAAATACCTTTGATATGAAACACAACAGTTGCTAAGCTATAGTGTGACTGTGCGCTGTTAGTTGAAGTGCAGAAAACTGTAGCTGTATCTGATTTAAACTATAGGTAAGATTTGGAAGGCTAATTACCTGGTTTGGAATTTGGTCCATACACACAACGCTGACAAAGAATGCCAGGGGATCATTAATGAGAACAAGTGGCCAGGATCTTGGTTTGCTGTCTTATCTCAAAGGTGCTAAGAGGCTTAAGAAAGAAAAATAATCTTTAGGTTTTTTCAATGGGGTCTCTCGTCCAAGTACTGACCCAGCCCAACTCTGTGTCGTTTGAGAAAGTGCATACATTAAGCTAGTAGGGCTTGCAGTCTACTAGCCAGCAAGTCTTCCCCAGTGTTCTATTCTAATACAAGTTGAGTCTTTGACCAGGGAAAGGAGGGAGAGAAATATCTGCCCAGGTTGGTCCCCCAAAATTGTGAATCTGTAACCAGGCCCCATAACAAAACAGTGAAATCTACAGAGTTACAGCCTGGCAGGAAAAACTAGTTCAGTCATTCACTAGATATTCACATATGATCCAAAAGAGGGACCAAGTCATTTATTTAGAAACCTTTTCAGGGCTACTGATTCTGTTAAATCTCTGCTGTAAAAGCAAAAGCCAAACTTTTCTAAAGTAGTTCCAAAGCTTTTGGAGCAGTAAGAGTGTGATAATATGAGTACTTCTCCATTCTTTGCACTATCAAGCAAGCAAAAGTCTCAGCAGGAGGTAGAAGGGCATGAGTCTTTAATCTAGACTGAACCAGTGACAGTCACTTGACCTGTTTTTGCTCCTTTGTAGTTAACTCATCTGTAGAACTGCACATAGGCAAAAACACTGAGAAACAGATGCTGCCACTGAACTATCTTGGGTATCAGAGTAGCAGCCGTGTTAGTCTGTATTCGCAAAAAGAACAGGAGTACTTGTGGCACCTTAGAGACTAACAAATTTATTTGAGCATAAGCTTTTGTGAGCTGCAGCTCACTTCATCACTTCAGGCCCCACTATCCTAGGCACTGTACCCACACAATGAAAAGGTGTTCCAAGCCCCAGGGCTCTTACAGTAACTGCTTGACAAACCTTGCTTTGTTCTCGGATCTGAACAATGTTTGTGGTTTTAAATGACTCCTTGGCCTGGGAGTTCTGCAACCTCCCAACAAAATCATGTCAAAGAGCAATTTGGCTCATGTATTAAAGCAGGCTGCTCAGAGGCTTTCTATTTTGAGGTTTTCACTTGAGTTCTTTTCCTATGAAAGCAGGCAGCATGGTGTATTTGGAAAGGATTAGCTACTACTGCATCCGATTTTATTGTTCACTATTGATATTATTATGAAGTGCAAAACAGTTAGGTTGGAGAGGACAGGGAATCAAGAAACTGCAAGTGGAAGAGGTCTGTAACTCTCACATGTCCCTGTAACACTGCAGGGAGTAAGATCACTGTTTAATTCTAGGGGGCAGCTTTGACCTTGCAAGGGGGCATGCCATAAAGATGAGAAAAACTAAACAAACTCCAGCACTTTCACTTCTTTACTCCTTTCTCCCCTCCTGCCACCTTACAAAGAAACAATAAGAGGCCTGCAGCCCTAGGATGCAATAAAACAATCATCACACCAAGTAAAACCCACCACTACGGAGCACAGAGAAGCTGAGGTAGCCAGCGGGAGGGTTTATGTGATGCAGAGACCATAACCTCTGCCGGAGGACACAAGATGCTGCCCCTCACAGAGAGACGGTTTGGGAGGATGGATGTTGTTCTCTCAGACTGGATTTAAGTTAAAACCTTGTAAGCTTTCATCTAGCTAGCTTTGAGGGAGATACTTTCCCCCTCTGATAGCAGTCGGGGAATGGGGGGTAGAGGACAGAACCCAAACCATCACCTCCTTAGAGGAAAGCAATCTGTTTTCCCCAGAGGCTCTGTGAAAGTTAAACTCAATTGACTAAAAATGGCAGCCACAAGAACTGGAATTTTCCTTTTCTCAAACATAAAGTGGAAACTCAATTATTTCCCTGGGCATAGGTAAGTAAGAAGAATGCAAACTTCTGGTTAAAAGCTCCTCTCCTTTACACCATTGACTTCAGTGGGTTTACTCCTGATTGACACCAGGATAAGTGCGACCAGAATCAGGCCCCCCTCTTGATACTTATAACAGCTCAGCCAGAACATGCACTACCCCATCCACCAGCTCCTAAACACCCGAAACTCTGCTGCACCAGCCCTTTTCATGAATACCCATCCGGCCGTCCAAACTCCCACTGAGGACAATGGGGCTGGAAGATATGAGCCTGCATTACTAACAGAAAGTTATCTGAGTTTCTGGACAAAGCAGATAGTTTCCCACCATAGGGCACATTTAGCACAGTGCGATCTCTGGCGATCCTTGCCAATGGTTACTTATTTTTAATTGAGGACCGAAGTTCGTACCTCCCCCTCCAGCTGCACTGGTCTTCTGAATAACTGCAAAGGACCGTATCCAGGACACCAAGGCAAAGAGCCCACAGCACCAAAGGCATCTTCTCTAAGATTTCGTCTCCCAATAAAGCAGAAGGAGGAATCAAATGCCAGAGACTACAGTAAATCCTTCCCCAACAGACACCATGCTGGAATGTGCGTGGGGAGTTAACGCCTGCATGTCTCCGCCATCCATCTCCCCAGGCCTCCGCCGCAAAAGTTGTCAGGATGCAAAGCAGGATTTCCCTCCTTCCTCCTGCTAGTCCGGAGTGATGCTGTGATTCAGAGCCAGGGGACAAGCAGCCGAGATGAAAGTGACCAGAAGGCTCATTGTGAAATTGACTAAGGTGTCCACAGATTGCTGGTCAGATTCAACGACGGTGGACGAAGGGGCGAATGCGTGGGGGGCGGGGGGGAAGGAGATGATTTGCCATTCTCCAATCGGAGCAGGGCTCGGAAACTTTCAGCCAATCGGAGCAGAGAGAAGGATGAGGGGTGGGCTCCCTTTCTCCATTAACAACTAGAATTTGAGAACAATATAATGAAATAGAAAAAAGAGTGAAAAGGCTGATTTGAAGTGATTGTTGTCCAGATGCGAGGAGTTCAGCACACAGACAGCTGATGGTGTGCACAGTGATTTGAGGGAAGGAGGATGCTTAATTTTTGAGGAAGGTTTGGGGAAATATATATACTGCTGATTGATTAAATGGTAAAATATACATGAACACAACTTGTAAACAAACCCCTTTCTATTATACAGACACACAACATGAATAAAACACTGAATCAATGAGTCTTTTGCACATAGGATCTGACCTCCCTAGGACTAATATTTATCTTGGAAAATGTAATTGTCAAATCTGTGGTTTTGAGGTAAGTTACACAGGAAATGCCAGCTTGGGTAGATCTAATCAGGATGCAGGTTGCTTGAATTATAAATGATATTTACAATATAAGTTAAGTAACATCAAATTATGCATAAAGGGCCAAATTTGATGTCCCTGCTCAGTTTTTATTCCATCCTTATTCAGAGCATGAAGCCAATGGAGCTGTGTACAATCTTAAAAAAGGTTCTTTTAATCTGATCATCTAACTTTGTAACAGGTATTTTGCCTGGACTTAGAACTTCCGAATTTGGCCCACTGTGTATCTGACCCAACCCTTCTTTTTGTCTGTAGCAATGGAATAGAATTGCATTACAGATTTGTTAAGAGCTCTGAAAACATACAGGGAATGCATTCCCCATTACCCAGTTGTTGCTGTTATTAGCCTGTTCATCAGCATAGCATAAAACTCCTTTATTTTTTTTTTGCAAAAGCCGTTCCTAATGATTTTATTTTTTTCAGACGCTATTGTCCCAGGTCCACAAGCCCTGCAATTAATTAAGTTTCCATTGGAGTTATAGCCCGCCAAAATGTTTGAAATAAACATGGAACAATTGCAATGCAATGATACAGGCAAGAGAACAAAGTCTCTAGGGAGAGGGTGGAGCAGAATGGTAATGAGGGATTGTAAATTTGGATGGAAGAAAGAAAGAAAGGGAAGGGGGGTTGGGGTAGGGAAAAGGAGGTTGCAATCTGGATTCAGAGCCCTCAGGCCATGAAATGATACTGAAAGAAGTCAATCTGTTGGAATCCATAGAAAATGAATCCAGTCTGAAAGCGATGGCATGGTCCATTATTATGCTCTTGTCTGATAATAAACCAGCAGCAGAAGTTTAAGGTGGAACAAGTCCTGGGGGAAAGCTTGTGAGTAGAAAGGAGCCAGAGGAGAGATGCACACAGACCGGATGCTGTTGTAAAATTAGTGTCTTGGTATGTCAGAAACACTGCCCCAGTCACAGTGACTGTCAGCCCAGAAGTTGGCATGTTTGTTGGGTAAGATCCTTTTAGTGCATGGATCTGATCAAGATTTCCTTCAGCGTGGAAAACCCATTTCACATTCATCTGTCTGGGTTTGTATATGGCCCACATCCCCATAGAATCTGAGCACCTCACAATCATTAAAGGATTTTATACTCACAACAGCCCTGTGAGAGTGGGTTATGTTATCTAGCCACTGTTTGATCAATAGGGAAACGGGGCACAGGGGTGGATTAAATTATTTTCTTAAGGTCTCAAAGGAAGTGTATAGCTGAGCCAGAAGCTGAACCTAAGTCCTCATAATCCCAGTATCCTATCCACTAGGCCACCTTTCCCCTACTTCTATTGACAGTTTAGGTAACCTGCACCCAGCTAAGAACAGCCAGAGCCACAAAACTTGGATTCAGAGCCAAACATTTCCCACATTTTAGGGAAAGGGATTTGGGTTCAGACTTGTCTCTGTTTAAGAGAGGAATTATTTAGCAGCCCCAGACAAGGGTGCCACTGACACAGCCGTTGGCAGTGCCCCTTGGGATAATTGGCTTGTTGGCCAAACCTTAGTGAGTACAACTGGTTTAGCTCATGCGTCTGATGAAAACATTGTCTATATCAATACTGTTGTTTGTCTTCAAGCAGGTATATTTTGCAATGGGCTGTGACAACCTATCACTTTAAGGTTGTCACAGAAGCTGCTCCTTCCTTCACTGTGATGGCAAAGAGAGAATTCAGACCTCCTGCTCCAAAAACACAAGCCCTTGACCACTTGTGCTGAAGGTGAGTTTCTCTTAGCAGTATAGGGCCTATGATATATCATTGAGCAGTTCTGATTCCATCCACTAGATGGCAGCAGCACATATACCTAGTGGCTAGTTCATCACAGTGTTTTCATTTCACAATTGTATACTACAGCCAATGTAAAATACTAAATAATTTAAGAGCTACAAAGAGATCACACTTAACATGCATATACTTACATCCTCAAACATTACTTTTTACAACTGAGACCTCATATAACAGAGGTGTGCATTAGCCTCATTTTACTAATGGGGAAGCTGAAACTAAGAGCTTAAGGATATGTCTACACTGCAATTAGACACCTGTAGCTGGCCAATGCCAGCTGATTCATGCTCATGGGACTTGGGCTAAGGGACTTTTAATTGTAGTGTGTAAACATTTGGGTTCAGGTTGGAGCCTGGGTTCTAGGACCCTGCGAGGTGGGAGGGTCCCGGCGCTCAAGCTGCAGCCCAAGTCTGAACATCTACATTGCAATTAAACAGCCCTGGAACCTGAGCCCCGTGAGCCCGAGTCAGCTGGCATGGGCAGCTGTGAGTATCTCATTGCAGTGTAGCCATACCTGAAGTGACTTGCTGAAGGTCACAGTACAAAGGCAGTGGCAGAGTGGGGTTAAATGCCAGAAACTTATGAATGAGTGTCCTGTGTTCAACTTCAATCAATTTGACAATGCTGCCCAGCAAACGAGCCCCATGGCTCAGGGTTATGCCCCTCCATACTTCCCCAAGTTCCTAAGCATGTGTCTATTAATCCTGGGGTAGGAGAGGGCTGGACAGGTAGGGCAGGCCTAATGCTGCCTTCTGGGCCAAGTCGCTTCTCCAAGCAAATGAACAAGGCTGAGGTACAGCCCTTTTTTAATGCAAATGCTGACAGGTCCCGTTGCTATAGTGGCACTGAAATGATCTGCACACGCTGGGCATGAGGCAGTGATGCCCAGAGGAAAGCCCCTCTTCCTGTGATCTCACTGACCTTTGGGAGATCCTTTGGGCCACACCATGGCTAAGACAGAGAAGGGTTTCTACATCAAACTGATTTTTTTCAATGGCTCCTTCTGTCTCTGTGCTACTCCGTGTCATAGGAGGAGCTGGTAAGGCCTTGCTTAGTGCTGACCAGAGTATTGTAATAAAAATCCCCCCACTCACCCAGAGGCAGATTACGGTTTTGCGGGGCCCTGGGCCAGAGCCAGAGGGGGCCCCTCCCCACCCCTTCCGCCTGAGGTCCCCCCTCTCCCCTCTGCATTCCTGCTGGGGAAATGGACTCAGGGCACAGGGACTTTCCCCACTCTGCCTGCCTGGTGCTCTTGCCAGGGAGCAGGGTCAGGGTGCGGGGGCTTGCCCCACTCCCTGACAGGAGCGCTAGCCAGGCAGAGTGAGACAAGCCCCTGCACCCCGACCCCGCTCCCCAGCAGGAGCGCCGGGCAGGAGGAGTGGGTTGGGGTGCAGGGGCGCCCATTTTTCCAGGGCCCCCCAGTCTGCCAGGTGGGGCCCACTAGGTTTGCTCAGTTTAGTCCAGAGGAAGAGGAGCTCCATGGGTGATGAGGGGTTGGACAAGCTGGCTGCTGCTCCGGTTTTAGGTTCCTCCTGCAGATGTTTTATTTCAGACTGTATTGTGTCCCCCTGGGAGAACATTTGCCCAGGCTCCCCAAGAAACACTAGCCTTGCTACTATGTGGTGACGCCCACTGGGGCCCGTAAGCCTCTATTGTCAAAGTATAATCCCCCTCCCCCGCGCCCCTAGTTCATTGCTGAGTCGCCTATTGTGTCCGGTATTCCCAGACGGCAGCTTGTAACCAGGGCTCTTTCATTAGCTATTTAACCTCCGGCCCGGAGCTGATACAGCTGTGCTCTTCAGGGGCTAGGCAGTGCTCTTGCCTCCTGGCATTTCCCTTGTCACAAGGAGGCAGCTACCTTTATTTGAAAGCAGCCATGCAACAGGAGCTGCAGTCCCCACACAAGTCCCTTTCACAACGTCACGCCCACCTGGGTACCCACAACAACCTGCACAAAAATACTCTCTGGTTTTCCCCTGATCTCATGCAATCCCAGCTTCTGTTTGAATGTTCTGGTGGGCCTTGGCATGTGGACATGGCCCCTCCCTCAGCCACCGGCCCTACCCATAAACACAAGTGTGGAGGCTGGTGATTTGTGATCTCCAAGGCTAAACCCCATCCCCTCTTCATTCTGATCTGGGTCTCCTGGATCCTCACTTAACAGCCTCTCTGAACCTGAGATTCCCCCACTCCATTCACCCCATCCCCGACAAAGGGATGGGCCTAGCTGAATCATGTACAAGGATGGATTTATGTCTCATGCATGGTCCAGAAAGGTAGGAGAATCTGGGCTCCAGCCCCTGCTTGACCACTTTTCTTGTTATTGACATAGGGTTATCAACTTTCTGATTGCAGAAAACCGAACACCCCTGCCCTGCACCCTCCTGAGGCCCCACCCCTGCCATATCCCTTCTCGTAGTCCTGCCCCCCCTCCCCATCCCCCCTCCCTCCATTGCTCACTCTCCCTGACCCTTGCTCATTTTCACTGGGCTGGACAGGAGGTTGGGGTGCAGGAGGGAGTGAGGGCTCTGGGGTGGGGCCAGAAATTAGGGGTTCAGGGAGCTCCAGGCTGGGGCAGGGGGTTGGGGGATGAGGGCTCTAGCTGGGGCTGTGGGCAGGGAGTTGGGGTGCAGGAGGGGGTTTGGTGTGCGGGTGCCAGGTGTTGCTTCCTTCAGGCAGCTCCTGGAAGTGGCTGGCATTTTTCTCCAGCTCCTAGGTGGAGGGGCGGCCAGACAGCTCTACGTGCTGCCCTCGTCCACAGGCACTGCCCCTGCAGCTCTCATTGGCTGCAGTTCCCAGCCAATGGAAGCTGCGGAGCCAGTGCTCAGGGCCGGGAGCATTGCGCGGTGCCCCCATAGCTGTGCCTCTGCTTAGGAGCCAGAGGGACATGCTGGCCACTTCAAGGAACCACATGGAGCCAAGGCAAGCAGGGAGCCTGAATCAGCCCTGCTGTGCCACCAACCAGACTTTTAATGGCCCGGTCAGCAATGCTGAGCGTCGCCGGCAGGGTCTCTTTTCGACTGGGTGTTCCCATCAAAAACCGGATGCCTATCAACCCTATATTGACATTAAAGTAACATCTGAGCAGGGCCCAGTGTGCTAGGCATGGTACATGCACACAGTAAGAGACAAGCCCTGCTCTAAAGAGTTTCTGATCTAAAGAGGCAGGGCAGACAATGTGTGGGAGAAAGGAATGAGTATTATTCTCCAGTCTATAAGTGGGGAACTGAGATGCAGAGATATTAAGGCCCAGACCCTCAAAATTACTTAGGAGATGAATTCCCATTGATTTAAATGAGAGTTAAGTGCCTAAATACCTCTGAGGAGCTGGGCTGAAGTGACTATCGTACAGTCCTACAGGGAGCGTGTGGTCGAGTGCAGTCTAAGCAGGTCCCCAGAACTAGTGGGGGTTGGGGGGGCACTGGTGCTAGAACTGTGGCCCCGACCCCTGCTCCTCCTCTTCCCCCCGGGGCTCTGCCCCCTCCTCCTCCTCTCTCCCCCCGTTTGCCCCCCAAGGCCCTGCCCACTGGCTAGGGCAGAAGCCAGAGCAGGGCTGTGGTAAGAGCCACCCAGGGAGCCCCTGCTGCTGTGGGGAGCTCCAGCTTCTGACCTGGCCAGGGATGGGGCCTTGGGGGGAGAAGAGGAGCAGGGGATGGGGCCCCACAGCGAATGTGCTGCTAGAAGAGGCTACCCTTTGCAGTGGGGGAGCTGATCACCTTATCAGCTCCACCGCCACAAAGGCAGCCCCTGTTGACACCGCCGCTTCTCACCAACCTGAGGTCACTACTCCCATGTTAAAAAGTGGGCAGGCATGGCCACCCTGTCCTCCCCCAGTTCCAGCATCTCTGAGTCCCCAGGATGTGGGGGGCTGAACTGCTCTTTGTGACCAGGGCCCCAGGACATCTTAATCCGCCTCTGGCCCTAACTACGAGACCATCTATTGGTCAACACTGGGTGTGCCCTTTGGCATGTGGGTAACCTTTAGGTTGAAATGTTCCCAATTAGTATTGACTTGTTAAAGACAAGGATGCATAAAACCTCAGGTTCAAGCCTCTAGGTCAGTTACACAAAATGTGTTCAGTAGAGGACTGTGAGGTGACACTTTGAGTGATGAATCCAAACTTTATTTAAAAGGAAAATGATTAGGTAAGTTGATGGGCATGCAATTACCACTGACACTCAACTATGAAATAGTGTATCAAGGAGTGCTCACTCCACTGACAACAGAGTGAAGTACAGCCTTATCACCCTGGAACCTAATGGGACCCTTTGCGTATTAATTGGAGCACTCCTCAATTTAGCAAACCAACTCTTTTTCTGATCCATTATAATATAAATTAATATTCAACTACACTTTACTATAATTATATTTCTGCCCCTTTTTAATAGCTCTTTACATTATATGTATTTCAATTAACATCTGCACCAGTGCCCTTCCCATACTATAAATATAGCTAGAATGTTAATAAAACATTCACAAGTCTTAATAATCCTGCTCAAACCAATTATAACCTTAACATAACACCGGGTCAGAACCTTGCTAACTCTTACTTTGTCATAACACTGTATCTCCAATTTATCTCTAACTTTTTCACACTAGCAACTTTAATTTCCTATACTCCTCTACATCTAGGCTACTTATTTCTTAACTTGTGCCATCTTATAGGTTACATATGACATACCCACTTTGTGGCAGTTTCTCCTGATTGGCCAGTTGGGTTGAGAATGCCTAGTGTTTGTATAGTGCTTTGAGATCCGCGCATGGAGGGAGTTAGGGGTGGAAGTTTGCATGAAATGTTTTCTGAGAACCAAGTTTCGCCTTTCTCTGACAATGGATCTCCCAACCCTGATGCGGACCCTAAGGATCACCCTCTCTTGGAGTGAGAAGGGAAACTAGGTGCCATGTTCATTCAGTTCTGAGCTTCCACATGTTGTCCAGTGTGAAGAAATCACCCTCTCTGAATGGAAGAAGGGGGTCTAGTCATTGTGTTTGCTCAGTTCTGAGGTGCCTCCCTGCTTCTCTGATTGGATCTCTCTTCCTTGGCCTCCCAAGGCATGAACGGTTCGCGCCAACTGCTCAAACTCCACCACTGAGAAATCTGAGATCTCTTGAGATCCCTGATCTCTATGGGCAGCACTTACAGCTGGAGGTATATATAGAGCTTATCAAAGAAGAACCACAAGCAAGAAGGGCCAACTTATTGTTTACTGACCATGACTAGGTGAAGCTGACTCAGCAAAGTGAGCATCTGTCTGCAGATGGAATGACAAGCCTCATGTCACCAGTATGGAGTGAAAAGTAGCTGTATAACACGTTATTCACCAGGCTGGGAGCAGATGTGTTTCCATAGGTGAGGATGGCCAGGCCTCTCATACAGGGGAAGAAGTGTGTGCATTGTTCCAGCATTCCACTCCCAGAGTCCCCCAGATGTGGTGGATTTCATCCAGACAAGGTGTGGAGGAGACACAGGACTGAGGTGTGGTTGTTACATGTGTTTGGCACATTGGGGAATGTGAATGAGGAGCTGCAGAAAGCTTCTGGCCAGGCTGCAGGAGGCCTCAGTTCCATGTTTGGATTTGTCACTGGCCTTGGGCAAGTCACTTAATCTCTCGGTGCTGCAATTTCCCCATCTATGAAATGGGGTTAATGCTATCAATCTCCTTTGCAAAGTGCCTTGAAATCCGTGGCGGGAGAGTGCTAGGTTAGAGCTACGTATTACTGCAGCTGCTAGTTCCTGGACCTGCAGGTGTCAGGCAGGGTAGAATTTACCTTCTTCTTTCTCAACTCAACCTGAGATGTAAAGATGGGACACCTACATCCTGACTAGCTCCTACATCCTCTGGCTCTCATTCAGGAAAATCCCTACTGAAAATCAATGAGAGATTAATACTGTCTAGGCTATAAGCAAGCAGCTGCTGAAGACACTGGCCACATGGCAGCATGCTGACAGTTGCAGGTAAGCCAGCCAAGCAGACTCCTGAGGCTACTCCCTGCCAGCAGGCTAGCATTTTGAAATGTCTGATGTTGGCAGCCCCTACACTAAGGAGGAGTGGAGTGCGTGTGTGAGCTGGGACTACGGCTAATCCTAAAGAGATGGCAGTATCAGAAAAGGATGTGTTTGAAGTCAGAGTAGATATGAATATTCCATCAAGCTGGCCCTTACACATTCTCCAGATCTTCAAAGAGAACTTGGCGCTAAGCCAAGTTCTCTTTAGAGGGGCATGTTCCTTCCAGAAGCTACCACGTGCTTGGGGGGGGTGGGGGCTGAGAGACAGCAGCTTTAAGCTATGCTCAGGCAGACAGCGTGCACTGTACTTTAGTAACTAAGTATAATGCTCTCACAGATCCCTTTCCACAGGGAGGAGTCTTACTTTCAAAGTTCTGTGGCTCAGTCTTTCTCCCATTGATGTCAATGTGAGTTATAATAATAAATAGATTCTGGAAGGGACACAAAACCTCCTGCATCGAGGTTTAAGACAATCTCTAGGGTTAGGAGGAGCCTTCCCTAAGGATAGATTATCTCATAATTTCCTCTGGCAGTTTCTTGCCCTTCCACTAGGGCTCACTATTGTCAGAGATGGGGTGCTAAACGATATGGTCCGCTGGTCTGATTTGCTCTTGTCAAGCCATCAGTTCCTATAAGTCTTGTCTAGGTCTCTAGGAGATTGCATTTGGCTCAGTGAGCCAGTCTGATGAAGTGAGCTGTAGCTCACGAAAGCTCTCATGCTCAAATAAATTGGTTAGTCTCTAAGGTGCCACAAGTACTCCTTTTCTTTTTGCGAATACAGACTAACACGGCTGTTCCTCTGAAACCAGTCTGCTTTTGGTTTCTGTTTCCTTGGCCACCTAACTTGATTTTAGAAATCTAACTTGTTTAAGAAAACTAGAGCACTGTTGTTACTTTATCTGGGGTCAGAGACATTGTCTGATTCTTTCGGGGAGAACTTTATTCTTGTATTCTGGTCAAATGAAGAGCAACAGTCTGGTCATAGGCTAAGAGCAAGATGGCTGGCTTCACCTAAGCAAGGTACCACAAGGAGACCTGGGGGTAAATATGGGCACATAGGAGAAAAGGTCCTGGAGTTAAGCAGTAATGAGAGAGAGTCACAAGAGAGTCACTCACAGAAAATAATGGCAGGTGCATTTAAAAGAGATATAAGGAAGTCCTTCATACACTGTGTGGTGTGTGCAACTCACTGCTGCAGGAGGTCATTGAGTCAAATGCTGTGGCAGGGAGTTAAAAAGACTCCTCAAGGTTATTTAGACTCCTAACTTTCACTGATTTCAATGAAATTTAGGAGCCTAAATACATCTGAGGATCTGGGTCTAAGTTCATGTTTCAGGGCATAAATAAAGGGGGTCATGAAGGACATGGTCCTCCACATGCACAGGTGCATTGAGGCAAATGCATCACTGGTGTAATCCTGTAGAAGTCTATAGAGTTACAGCAGGGATTAATTTGGTTCATTGGTTGTGGTTTTTTTCTCCAGCTTTCCTCAGGAATACCAGGTATGATACCAGACTAGATGGACCAGAGATACACCTGCCAACATCAAAAAGCTACAAATGGGAACATCTGGGGAGAAAAAAACAGAGACAAGGCCTTTCTTTTCCTTGAAATGCATTGGACTGGGAGAGCTTTTTGGTGGGACTAAGAAGAACAATGATCAATATATCTAGCTAAAAATACCCTCCCTCCTATATATAGAGGTTGGCATGACTGAGCACTTTGTAAATGGATCAGTAGAGGCACTGCTTTGATCTGGAGCAGCAAATCCTACGTGATGATGTGGGGATCTGTCTATGTACAATGTATGAATTATGAGTGAGATTATGAACTCTCTGTATGGCTCTGTGCCAGGCTGCAAACTCCATTTTGGATGGTTTGCTGCATTCGCTGTTGTCCTTTCATCTCCATGTTGGACTGAAATTTCAAGGTATGGGGGCCTGGGTCTAACATTGGAGGGTTGTTAAATCTTGATCATCTTCTATTCAAACAGAAGTACCCTTGGACATAGAGCTGCCGCTGCCCAGAAGAACCAGTCTGGGCTGGTAACCAAGCAACAGATCACCTGGTGAGGGATTTTGATCACCTGCTGAGAGTGAACAGAACGTCGCTTGACAAAGGGGGTGTATGGTTATAGATTAGAGGGTCCCTCAGCAGCCATTGTAAGGAGCACAAGTGACCACAAGCAGAAGCAGTGGAAGCCTGGGCAGGAGAGTAGAAGGGGACTGACAATAGAGGTCAGAGAAAGAGAGATATGGCATGATTCGGAATAGAAGCCATGTGCTGCAGGGGGGTCCTAGACTGCTCGGAGGGCTCTGCCAAAGCTCAGAGCACTCTCCAGAATGGTGAGGAAATTGAGGCAGGGAAAGGTATGTAGATGTTTTTATTATTTTGTGTAGATCTGTGTATTTCTTGTTCTACTTAAGTAAAGAGTATTGTTGTTTAGAATCCTATGCAATATCTGTGTGTCTGCTTTGCTTCCATGTGCCTCTGAACAGTGGAACTGTAAACCCGCAGTGCCCACAAGGTCAAACTCTGCAGGAAGATGTGTTTTTAAGCTACTGGGTCAGCACTGGTCTCAGGGGCTTGGTAGCTGGGCTGTGTTTGTTCAGCTGTCAGACAGAGGATCTGCACTCCAAGAGTGTGCCTAAAGACCCCAGCCAGGGTCAGTGCCTGGATGCTGTTCACACTCAGGAGGCTTAAAGGGCATCCAGGGACTGATGAAGTGGGCTCCAAACAACAGCCTGCTGAGTGTCCATTGGGGGAGGGGTATGTACACCTTATACAGGACAGCCCTATTCCTGCTCTATGAGAACAGATCAGTTGTGGTGCTAGCCTGAGAGACTTGGGTTCAATTCCCTGCTCTATCCCAGACTTCCTAGGGTAAGTCACTTAATGTCTCTGTGACTCAGTTCTTCATCTGTACAATGGGGATAAAAGCACTGTTCTGCCTCAGGGGGTGTTGTGAGGATGAATATATTAAGTATTGCAAGCTTGCTTGGATGCTCTGGCAGTTGGGGTCAGATGATAACTTTAGCTAGATAGAATTGTGTTTGTAATGGTACCAGCTGAGTTGATACTTTCTTGTGGTTTTGTTTAGAGGGGTCTGAGCTGTGAAGCCCAGATCCTGATTCCAAATGTTCCTAGGGTCCTGTGGTGTTTGCATTAGGCACAGCCTCAGTTCTGCCAGAGCTAGACAGGCTCTTATTGTGGAAGGCCTGGCTGCTTCACTCTGGAAATATGAAGTGGTGTTGTTTTGAGCACTAGACCCTTGTAAATAGGTTTGGTTCCACTGCATAGCAGGGAAATTCCAAGTTGACAGCCACACAGTCTCAACTCACAGCCTGCCTAGGAATGTGGTTACTCAGTTCTCGAGAGAGCTCTCAGCACACATTCTGCAGTGATGGCAGCTACACACCAGGCCCTTCCCAATGCAGGGAGCACTCTGAAGTTGGCAGCACGAACTCAGAGCTGAAGCAGCCTCAGGCTTTGTCCTGATCCATCTCTTCTCTGACAGATCTAAAAAGTGGATTTAGTGCTGGGGGTGAGAGAAGCCTTGGTGACTGAAGACCCCTCCTTTCTCTCAGAAGAGGGGTAATACCAGCAAGCACTCTCTGCTGCCCTGCCAGCAAGATTCAGAGGGAGAGAAGGTGGGGAGTTCAGTCCCTGCAGCCCATTCATTCCTTTGCCCCCTCTATGGAGCCTACCAGCTATTGTGGTGGCTGTGACGTGGCTGCCTGCCCATTGGGACCTAGAAGGAGACTTACCAACTCATGTCACCCAGGCCACCCACTGTGCTGCCATCAGATGATAACACCACCTGGGCACTGCCAGCAATCATGCCCTCTAAACCATTCCCACGAGCCTGCAAGCTGAGTTCCTAGCCCTACTGGTGCTGGAAAGCCTGGATGTGAATGGAGGCATTTCTGAGTTTGCTGTCAGCCACAAACAGTAGCTGGAGGTGTGAAATTCCAGTTCATCTTAACCGGGTGTTAAGTTTGAAACCTAATTAGGAGCCTACAACGTCAACATCATTAACAATGGCTCTGTTGTTTCTTGCCCCAGAAACATGGTGGCTAGCTGGACCTCCTGCATGTTTGAAAAGGAATGGCTAGTAGCCAAGTAGTCAGGGACACAACCCCATGCTCTGGGTGTCCCTAACTGCCAGAAGCTGGGACTGGACGACAAGGGATGGATCACTCAATCATTGCCCTGTTCTGTTCATTCCCTCTGGGGCACCTAGCACTGGCCACTGTCGGGAGACAGGATATTGGGCTAGATGGACCATTGGTCTGACCCAATATGGCCATTCTTATGTTCTTTTCTTTGAGCATGGCAAGCCATATGCAGCTCTGATCACTAAGCCCCCAATAGTCCAGAGCCCAATGATGCAGAAATGACACCTTTTAACTTTCTTCTTATTCCAGTTTCCCATGAGTCTCGCTAATTGGGAAAATTCTTTAATGGAGAACGAAGTGTGCGAGATTCAATGACAAACAATGGACCAGCCCAGCACTGGGGGTGGGTGGGGGCAGGAAGAGGACACAGATGGATCTGTAAGAGGAGCCAGCACTGCTCATGAAAACTCAGCACAGATGGGACTAATTTTGGCTCCATTCATGGCAGCAGAAGGACACATTTTCTCACTTTCCCTTCCTGCTGGTCTCAGAGGTTCTATTGCCCCTCCCCAGAATCAAACTGCTCCACGCCCCCTCCCTTGCAGAGCAGATTAGCTATGGGGGTATTGACAAAGCTGAGTTAGCAGATGTGGGATGTGAGTTGAAATAGTGCAGGACAATGCTATGCTTCTGTCTGTGTGCTGCATGCCACCGCTCACCCTGCAAGGGCTCCAGTGGAGGAGAGGTGCCATTTGCTCCTGTGCAACCCCAGAGCACCAGAAAGTCCATGGGCTGGTATCTCTTTGATGAAGCAAAGGCTTTCATGTTTAGCTATAAGGGCCTGCTCCTGCTCCTGTCACCAGCTGGACTGAGGCCTTTACAGCATGCTCGGCTGTAGGGTGGCAACACTACAGAGAGAATAGCAGTGCTTGGGTATGTCAGTGAGGAGCATGACATGTGGGCAGTATGTGGCAAAGCCTATGGGGTGTGGATGCTGATGACTGGGACAGCACAGCAGGCCAGCCAGCAGTCAATCTGTGCTAAGCTGGGAGGAGCACTCCATAAACGCCCGCAGAGCGACCTCATTGTGCTTCTTCAAATCCCTCCTTAAGATTCACCTTTGCTGTAATGCCTACAAAAAACCTGCCATTACTTAGGCTGCTGGTGCGCTCAGACCACTGCCCGTCATGCTGGCCAGCACCGCTGGTGCGCTCAGACCACTGCCCGTCATGCTGGCCAGCACCGCTGGTGCGTTCGGACCACTGCCCGTCATGCTGGCCAGCACCGCTGGTGCGTTCGGACCACTGCCCGTCATGCTGGCCAGCACCGCTGGTGCGTTCGGACCACTGCCCGTCATGCTGGCCAGCACCGCTGGTGCGCTCGGACCACTGCCCGTCATGCTGGCCAGCACCGCTGGTGCGCTCGGACCACTGCCCGTCATGCTGGCCAGCACCGCTGGTGCGCTCGGACCACTGCCCGTCATGCTGGCCAGCACCGCTGGTGCGTTCGGACCACTGCCCGTCATGCTGGCCAGCACCGCTGGTGCGCTCGGACCACTGCCCGTCATGCTGGCCAGCACCGCTGGTGCGTTCGGACCACTGCCCGTCATGCTGGCCAGCACCGCTGGTGCGCTCGGACCACTGCCCGTCATGCTGGCCAGCACCGCTGGTGCGTTCGGACCACTGCCCGTCATGCTGGCCAGCACCGCTGGTGCGCTCGGACCACTGCCCGTCATGCTGGCCAGCACCGCTGGTGCGCTCGGACCACTGCCCGTCATGCTGGCCAGCACCGCTGGTGCGCTCGGACCACTGCCCGTCATGCTGGCCAGCACCGCTGGTGCGCTCGGACCACTGCCCGTCATGCTGGCCAGCACCGCTGGTGCGCTCGACCACTGCCCGTCATGCTGGCCAGCACCGCTGGTGCGTTCGGACCACTGCCCGTCATGCTGGCCAGCACCGCTGGTGCGTTCGGACCACTGCCCGTCATGCTGGCCAGCACCGCTGGTGCGTTCGGACCACTGCCTGTCATGCTGGCCAGCACCGCTGGTGCGCTCGGACCACTGCCTGTCATGCTGGCTGTAGTAAGATGAGGCCCTGAAACTCCAACCCTGGCATCAGAGGCCCGGTATGAGGCCTGAGGCCTGAACTAAAGGAATGGTCAAGACTTTGCTGACATAAAGCAAAGTTAAGCTGCGAGCCAGAGGCAGGCCCTGCTCACAGAAGCTGTCAAGGAAAGGGCTGATGTTGCACAAACACATATCTAAAGTGTATTGGATTCCAGAGCCGTACACAAATGGCACAAGAACATTCTTACACCGTCCCCACAGATAACCAGGGGCAGGGGCAAAAGGCCAGTGTGAAGGGTAGAGTTGTTTTGTTCGAACCAACATGCACAAGGTGAGAGGCGGCACCTCGCTGCGTAGAAGGGTGGGGCATTGTTAGGTAAAGGGGTTGCACCTCAGTACGTCAGGAACGTTGTGTAACTTGTTTGTAGCTGTGCAGAAGAATACATCTCTGGGGGGGTGCCTCTCCCCAGCCTTGGGGGCAGTGGAAAGTCCCGCCACTGACTGAGCGGTGTCCATTGTCAGGGAGCACCTAGGGACTAGCACCAAACCGTAGATATATAATCCGGGGAGCTAGAGACCGTGTTTCTCTTCGACAATAAACCTGGCCAAGGTGCCTTCGTACCTTACTGGAATCTGTGGTCATTGGGGGTTCTCTCGGGGCCTGCTGGGCCAGCGATCTGCAGAGCCAGGGCAGCAGCACACAGAGGGAAAAAAACGCACACACGCAGCCAACTGATAGCCGCGTTGAGCAAGAGCAGAGCACCACACTGGTGGCCACTGACAACATGGGCCAGCGCTGCTGGGGTGCTCAGACCGCAGCCTTTCACGCTGGCCAGTACTGTCTGATTGCTTCTTTGTGCTCCCCTGTCTGCCTGCACCTACCTGGTGGTTCTTGTCTTCTGCTTAGATTGCAATCTCCTTGGGGGAAGAAACTGTCTTTTTTGGTTCTGTGTTTGTACAGTGCCTATTACAATGGAGTCCGTGTTTGTGGCTGGGGCTCCTCAGCAATACTACAGCATAAATAATAATAATAAGGCATCAGTCTCTCTGTAATAAAGCTTAATTGAAACAAAACACCATCCCTATAAAAACACATATGAATTACACATTTTCTGCATACTTTTCTTTTATTTATAGATGTGTTGGGGTGTCCACGCACCCAGGACTGGAAGGGGTTAAGGGACTAGGTAGGCCTATTAACTCCACAGGCTGCACATGGAGGGAGATGCAAAGAGCAGGGAATTGATGGCAAGCAGGCTCAGCTGGGCAG